TATTAGTAAGTTGCTGCTTTATAAAATTATAAAAATAAGTATTAGTCTCCACAAACATATATTATGGGAAGTGTAGTTTTCTAGCGGTCTCCAATGAGTGCATTCTAACAGTAAAAACTATGATTCCCACAGTTCATTGCGTTGTTGACATCCGCTCCAAGTATGTCCGCTGTGTAGCTGATCAGTTTTAACTTTGATGTGGAAAAAAGTGTAATAAGGTTTTGATTTTTTAGACGCAGATTTCTAAATCAACACAATATCTTTTTTTTGCTTTCTTTTCCTCTTGCGTTTCGATGTGGTAAAATACATTAATGTTACCTGCTCAATTTTAAATAGTGAAAGTCAGTTTTCTGCGAAACAGGATTAAACGTGCTGTGAGTGCTTGAAAGGTTGGTATATTATATAGTAAATGTGAAGAGTATAGTAAGTAAAAGTCTCTTTAAAAATGATCTCTTTAAAATGATGTTAGTGTTAATGGATTGATGGTTCAAAAAGATCAATAAAAACTCAAATAACTTTTGTCGTACAGTTCTGCAAACGGTGGAGAAAATGTTAGATGGTTATTTACTCAGAATAAATATAAAACGTACTATATGGAGTGAATTATTTGTAATGCTTTTTACGGAGATAAAACCTCCTGACACTTTTCGATTAACATCTGCAATTTAAAAATAAATTCTTAATCGAATGCATATTCGCAAAGATTTTCGTTGTTTTTTTATGCCTTTACATACTTTTATGCCTTTACATACTGAATTACTTAACATTAGTGTCCAGATCGGGTTTTTCACTTCTTAAGTGAAACAAGTGAGTATTGTATTCAGAGTGATTAGTAACTTCATAGTGGATTGATATGCAGTACACATGTACATGCATGCCTATTTGCAGAATAAATGATTACTTATGGTGGCATGGTGGTGCAGTAGTTGGCATTGCTAGTTTGCAGCGCTGGGGGCCTGGGTTCAATTCTGGACCTAGGGTGCCATCTGTGTGGAGTTTGTATGTTTTCCACGTTTTGCGTGGGTTTTCTCTGGATGCTCTGGTTTCCTCCCACAGTCCAAAGGCACACTGGTAAGAGAACTGACTAAAATAGACCGTGGTGTGAGTGTGTCTGTGGTGTTGGATGGGAGTTCTGTCCAGGGTGTATCCTGCCCTTTGCTAGTTGCTTGCCGCGATAGGCTTCGGATCCCCCGAGACCCTGAACTGGATAAAGCGGTTAGAAAATGGATGGATAGATGAATAAGTGCTTTCATTCTTATTTGAAGTTATCAATCAAAGTTTATTTATCAAATGCACAACAACACAGTGTGCAGCAGTAGTTGCTGGCAATGGAATGTCTTTTCTACGAGCTCACTGGGAGAGATAAAAATCACAGAATTAAAGTTGCAAAATAAGGTTACATAATGATAGATAATAGTGCAATAGAAATTCAATAAGATAAACTCAATATAAATAGAGTTGCTATGTGTCCAGGGTGTATGCAATACATTATGTCCAAGTAGTGCAGTATGCCAAATACAATGAAAACTGTATGTCCATGTAGCCATTGTGGGTGACTTGCTGAAGGCACTGAAGGATTTGCTGAAGGAATTATGACAGTGAACACAAATCTGCATGCTGTTGCATTGTATCTTAACAGAAGACGCAGTCCTTGCGCTGCTGTGGAAAGTGAATATTTTCTGTTTCTCTGCAAGGATGCGGAGCAGCTCCTCCAACTCTCTGGCCCATGTGAGGGGCCTGGGCTCGGTGCGACTCGGCAGCAGCCCGCTGCTGTCCCAGGGCTCGGCTCAGGCGCTCAGCCTGCTGGAGACTGCCGCCGAGCAGCTGATGGTGCAGCGGGATTTTCGAGCAGCGCTGGATTCATGCGAGAGAGGTTTGGACAGCATGGGGAGTGTCCCTGAGCAGGAGGACACATCAAGGTACCGCTACAGCCAAAGACAAACAAGGGCGTGTTGTGTACTCATAATAGTGCAATATGTTTTGGGGGCCAATAATGAGATTGACAAGGAAATCTGGGTATTGATTAATAAAATTAAGTAGTTTACAGTGCCTTCAAAAAGTATTCACCCCCATTGATGATTTCTCGTTCTACTGTGTTGCAAAGTCAAATTAAAGCATATTTAAATGGGATTTTTTTCCTCTAAAATGTTAAAATGAAATGAAGTATTTAGACGTCTTCAAAATTATATTAAAAATAAAAATCTGAAAATTTCTTAATTGATAAGTATTCACCCCCTTTGTTTTAACAACCTAAATTGGGTGAGGTATTCAACCACCTTGAGAGATATCGCACTAAATGTCACGAAGAGATCAGGACCCTATGCAGACGATAGAATCCAGAAGGGAGTGCAACAGACACGGGGAGGAGACGGAGAGGAACTGGGCAGGTGGACGAACGGGGGTGTGACGATGGTGCACTGTTGCTCAGGTGGGGGGGGGGATGTGGTCCTGGCAAACTAGTCCAAAACAATCCGAAAGGGGAAACCAGGAAGTCCGGAAGTCCAGAAGTCCAGTACCTGGTAATCCATCAAAGACAAAACAAGACGGGGTTAAAAACTGGAACGGGATCTGGTGCAGGGGAATAAAAACAGGGGTGACGAGGCGCTCTGAGCCCTGGACTCAGATAGGTCAGGATGCTGATAGGAGGCCTATGCCCTCAAGCCACGGACGTAGGGCGACTTGGTAGTGGGCGGGCCTCCGGGCGTCCGTCTTCCAATGCAGAGCCTGGAACAGAGTGAGCGTCTGGCTTATAAGGAGGAGCTGGATTGGAGAGAGGTGCACATGATCAAGTAAAATGTTAAAGAGCCGGAGCGCCCTTAAGCCCTTAAGAGGAGGCATTACAATCGTGGCACTAAATACGTTAACGAGGTACACCTGTGTTCATTTCGAATCCACCTTTGTTCAATTGCTTGATTGCACAATAAATATCACTGACTTTGTGAGGTCTCACAACTAAAACAGCAGATCAGATCACTCCTGCTGTCATGAAGACCAAGGAGCTGCCCGTGGAACTTCGAGATGAAGTTGTAAGGAGGAAAAAAACTGGAAAAGGTTATTAAAAGATTGGCAAAGCTTTGAACCTTCCTAGGAGCACAGTGAAGTCCAGTGTAACAAAATGGAAAAAACATGGCACAACCTAGACACTACTAAGATCAGGCCGTCCTACCAAATTGAGCAACCGGACAAGAAGGGCAATTGTCAGAGAAGTGACCAAGAGGCTACAACACTGACAGAGTTGCAGAGCTCTTTGGCTTAAATGGGAGAAACTGTCCAGACATCAACAATCTCTTCAGCACTTCACAGATTTGGCCTCTTTGGGAGATTGGCTAGAAGGAAGCCACTTCTGAGAAAGGCCAACATTAAATCACGCCTGGAGTTAGCTAGAAACCAAATACAACTGAACACCCAGGTAACACCATCAAGCATGGTGGTGGCAGCATCATGCTCTGGGGTTGCTTTTCAGCAGGAGGAACTGGAAAGCTTGTTGCCATCAAGGGCAACATGGATGGAGCCAAATACAGGCAAATCCTTGAGGAGAACCTGTTTCAGTCAGCCAGAGATCTGCGTTTAGGTTGAAGATTCATTTTCCAGCAGGACAATGACCCAAAGCACATGGCAAAAACTATCAAGGAATGGTTTGAAAAAAAGAAGGTTAGTATTCTGGAATGGCCCAGCTAGAGCCCAGAGGTGAATCCAATTGAAATTCTGTGGTAAGACCTGAACATTTCTTTCCACAGATGCTCTCCACCTAATTTGGCAGAGTTGGAGCAAATTTGCATTGAAGAATGGGCAAAAATACCACAATTTAAATGTGCAAAGCTCATACAGACAATCCCAAGAAGACTCATGGCTGTAATTGCTGCTAAAGGACTATGTACAAAGTATTGACTGGGGGTGGGGCTAAATACTTTTGTTAATGAGAAATGTAAGTCTTTCATTCTGGAGAAATGAATGTTCTTGAATAAAAAAAAATGATTCATAAATGTTTAATTTATTATGTTATTGAAAAGTGAAAAAATATTTTAATGTGTTAAATGGGGTGGTGTAACAGGAACAAAATGCAAAAAAAATCAAGGGGGTGAATACTTTCTAAAGGCACTGTATATTAACATAGAGTCTGACAGAATTTGCTGCTATGTTCTGACTGTGAGTAGCCTCACAATTTTTTGGCTGCACTGTTGTACATCTTTTTGAGGAAATTCAGGAACTTGGAGGAAAGTCAAAATAAATACAGGGCCCTTTTGGGTCAACCCGGCCCACAGGTCCCAGTGACCAGAACAGCTGAAAGTTCTTGTTTATTTATCTAACCAGATAAGTAAATTGAGAACAAATTCTCCTTTACGGTGATGACCTGGAGTGTGCCCTTTCCTGCTGCAAGCCATTTCCTGGAGAAATTGCAGTGATGTACAGCAGTGTTCCAACCAAGATTTAAATCAGGAGCCCTGGTCATTGCTCCATACTACTGACCTGATATTTAGTATTTCCTTAGACATCAAAAGGGACATTAGTTCATAACACATTAAGACGCCAGTTATGATTCATAAAGTGCTTTGTCGCTGTATCTGATCAAGCCTAGTCTACAGGTAGTACTGAAGAGTGTGAAGAAAAAATCAAGATGTCATCACGTTTACTGGATCATTAAGATTATTCCAGTGGCCAAAGCAGAGAGATGAATGCTGTGTACTTCTACAGAAGGGCTGTCCTATCCTAAACCGAAATAATTTCTCATTACTTTATCTGATCTGCTGTGCACTGGGGTGCTGGAGCATAATGGGTCTGTCATGCAGTAGCAAATGAAGTTTTTAGTGCTTTAGGATATTTTGGGATGAAAAGTGTGATACAATTTCTATAGAAGATCTACCTTGCTCTCTGTACAGCATCATTCATAGGTCTTCAAAGCCAAAATTCTTTGGCACATTTTAACACATTCTTCTACAATATATGTATATGTATTCTATAACATATATGGAAATATAAATTGTGGAGCTTATATACAGTATTTCATCTGGTTTCATACCATCATTCTCAGATTCAGAAGCTTATTGGCCCCACAGACAAAAAAAATCTTCTACCTTACATGAGACACTTTTCTTTTCTCACATAAACACAATACTACCTAGTATAAACGAGATATTTTTTTTCCCCATAGCGCTAGTAAGCTTCTGTAAAGAAGAATGCAGATCTATTTTTCTGGATTTTTCTTCAATTTAAATGAAAAGACCCTTAAGCTAAAAGTATACTCTACTGTTCAGTGAGAATATAGTGTTTGAAAAGAAGTCTAGTATTTGCTTAAATTATTATTTTCCGGCTCTGAAAAGAATACAAATTGGGTGTTTAGTTAAGATGAATTGCTGCTCATCCTTTTTTGAAGAATCAAGGCCATTCAAGCAGAAATGAGTGAATCCACATTATGAATGAGAAACAGGCTTATATGCTGTGGGCCCAACAGAATAGTGCAGACACTAGATTATTACCCTGTGACCTGTAGAATTGTTTGTGATGTGCAATTATTTCACTTTCTGTACAAGCAGAATGTAAAATAAGGATGCAGTAGCTGGTGTATTAAATTCTCCTGGAAATGCTTACAGTGGTTCGTCTGAAACAGTTTCCCCCTTTGGTTGCACTATACAGTATGTCTGATTTGAAGCTCTTGTCTAAGCAGCAATTTCAGATGCAGTGAAGTAAAGGTGGCACTTTGCACCATTGGAGTCCAGGCTCTTGCAGAGCTCAACCAATGGAGAGGAGTCCTCCCCTGGATCCTGCAGTACTACGGAACTCCAGAGAAAATACCTGCAAAAATAATGCAAATGTGGTGAGTTTTTTCTGACATTTATTTTCAACTTAAGAGTTACCGTCAAAGCTTCTGGAAAGAGTGTAGGAAAAACACTGCAGTGAGAAGGCTGTTACTGATCATCCCCAAAGGTGGCTCAAATTATCTAGACAAATATTATATAGATAAATAGCAAATATTAAGCTGGGTAGTAAGAGTGAGGATCAGTTGTCCTCATATACTCTGTTGTATTCGTTTCTGAATCAGAGTGGTAGATCTTGTAGTGCGTAAAATAATTGGCACAGTGCCAGGATGTCCCTAGCTCTGTCCCTCATTTACTCTGCCTCACCTTAGGGAAAACACTGAACATCTTTGTATTTTGTCTTGTGTATAATGTGTTGTGAGGCAGAACGGTAATTGTTGATTACAAATTAGAATAATAACTATTACTGAATTCATGGATTTTCTTGCAAGACAATTTAAAGTTTATTTGGAATTTTAATAGTAGCATTTCATTGTTGCTTTTCTGCGCAAGTGCATACAGTGGTTGCAGAGCTGTTTTATCTTTACATCTGAAACACTCTGCTTTTTAACTAACAAATATATTTTGACTTGGTATAACTTACTCTTTTTCAATAAGAACTCCTGCACATTTCTATGTGTGACTATAGTCTACTGCCAAACATGTAGCATTTCCTTTCACTTTTACATGTTCCTCAAAAGATTGATTTAAAACTACTGATGTGTATAATTTTGTGCAAATGTTTGTTCAGTGATAAAGTGCTTTCATGGGGCTATGGACCTCCTCTTTGTACCATCCAAATAGACTCAAAACTCAATAGATGCTGTTGTTTTATCCATATAGCATCCTTCTCTACACTAAGGTGGATGAACCAGCTGTGGTCTTGCAAGCTGGTGGTGATTGGTTGAGGAGCCCAGCCAACCAAAGCCTTCCTGGGTATGGTGCTGTAGCAGAACTTTATCTCCTGCACATCCTAGTCCCCTTGGGCAGGCTGGGTGAGGCACAGGCCTTGGCAGAAAGCAGCACAGCCTTCAGCGAGGAGCAGAGGCAGGTGGCAGTGGACATCATTGAACACAAGCGAAGTTCCAGCCAGCCACAGAGCCCTAGTCAGGCCCAGGAGTTGGAACATAAGATATGCAGAAGTAGGTCCCTTTTCACTTCAAAGATGATAAATTGTCTAGTAATCATTCTTCAGCACTAAAGAAAGCATTGATAATGTCTTACTATTCTTCTGACTGGAAAACTATAAAACTATAGATATCTTGTATAGAAAAAATGGAAGTGGTTCAGTGACTTCTGTATGTGAATTCAGTTTGATATACAGAACACGATTAGCCAGTAACCCTTCTTGTAGTCCTGGTCTGTGTACTGTGGGTGCTTCTAACAGCCTTCTTAATAGTAAGTAGAATTTGTTTAAATCCATTTATCAAACAAAACTAAAGAGCTAATTTTGTCAAAGCACTACAGTGGTATTGATTAGCAGTGAAAGTATGTGTTTCCTGTTTTTACTGTACTGTATATAAGATACAGTTAGAGAAACACCATACATAAGAGAACCTGAAGAAGAGCTGTATAGCAATGTGCTGTGAGCCATGTGTGTTGCCTAATAAATAAGCTTTGGGTGCTTGCATAATATTGTTGGCTTGTAAGAAACAACATTTCTAGTATAACAAGCACATACTGTATTAGGTTGCCATCATGGGTTTGGCTGAATATGATCTCTATAATTCCTATGTTGCAGGTTCATGACTGAACCACCTAAATTTAGCCACAGAGCTCATAGATTGTCAAAAGATGAACTAGTTAGAGGAGTTGCAGGTTAATTTCCCATTTTGCTTGCAGGTGCTGTTTCTCAGAGGTTGGATTCCACGGTGAGGTTATTGTACAGAGCCCTCTTTTTGGTCAGGAAAAGATTCCGTGCTTTTCCCTTCCAGAAGACTGTGCTTGCTGCAGTTTTATTGTACCTGCTTTTAATAAGAGTGGACCCAGGTAAGATGTAAGAGGTTCCACATGTCCTGTAATTAGGAACTGAAGCCATGAGTTAGGCAATCTTACCATTTTCATTTGTAAGATTTAAATTAGGAGTGACAATTCCTGTGATCAATGTGCTTCTACAGGCTGAGCTAGAGGACCATTTTGACTTTTGACTTAGGAATATGAACTTTAATCACTCCTGCATTATTTCATATCATTATCATCTATTTCAGTTTCCTCTTTATCCAGTTCAGGGTCACAGAGGAGCCTGAGTCTGTCCCGGCACGAAATGGGCACAAGTCAGAATACACCCTGGACGGGACTCCAGTCCATCACAGGGCTCACACATACGTACTGTAAACACATACTCATACCGGGCCGTTTTCCCCCAAAAGCCAGTACTCTACCAGTATGTCTTTGGACTGTGGAAGGAAACCATAGCACCCTGGGGGAAACCCATGCAAATATAGGAAGAACATTCAAACTCCACACAGATGGTACCCCAGGAATTGAGCCTAGGGCCCAAGCACTGTGAGGTGCAAACCACTGCATCATTGTGCCATCTCACTGTCTTACCTGTATCATTTGAAACTAATATTTGATATTTGTGAAAAATGATTTTACTAAATGCCAAATATTATTTGCTTTGATCAGTTTCACTTTTTTTCATAACGATGGCAACTATTTATGTGCATTCTATAATAAAGCAGCTCAAAGAATGTATGTAAATGTCATCCCCCCACTACCTATTTATTCATCCATTTATTTATGTATTACTAATTTTGTTGTTGGGATTTTTGGTGATTTTACGTAACTTTATTTTGCTTGTGTGTTTTGTACTTTTATGGGAGAAGAAAATGACAGATTTCCACAGCAGTGGACATTTAAGTATCTATGTACACATGTTGTAATAAAATATATGGGATACAGTGTAATGGAAAGGTTAGAAAGACTCTGAATGGAAAAGCTGGGGAAGAGAACAGAGTTGTTTATTCACTATGTGTGACTTATTATCTATATGTTCCTTAACAGATAGTTGTACTTTGTTACTAGAAAAATTAGGTATTCATATAGATTTAAAGCTCTAAGGATTTACTCTGGAGGTAAATGAACAACTCCCCTCTCGTGTTTGTTTTTCAGCTGTTCCTTCTGCCTTTCCCTGGATCTCCAATCTTCTCCAGATATTCCGACAGATGTGGGATACTATGTTTGCACCCTATTACAGAGCTGCTGTCACAGACTAAGCAACAATCCAGCATTTTTTCAAAACTTGGCCGACTTTCATTGCAGACTCTGAAGAACTACAGGTGGTCTCCTTGAGTAAATACCATATATTATTTATTTATTATTATTTTTAATCAGGCCCAGATTTTGCAAGAAGACCCGGAGAGAAGAGAAATAAATAAAACTGGACTGTCCTAAGATATACTGTGCTGCTGTGCAGGAGATTTCAAATGAAGGCCAATCCTCAGAGCCAACATACCTTTGAAACATGGATGCTGCTGTAAAGTGTTTTTCATTTTATTTTCTGTAATCTGAGCTGTAAGGATGTCTTTACATACAGGATATACAGTTCCTTCTAGGTTTGCTCATATCCCTGATACAGTAGGAACACAAAACATCATAGAAAGAATTTATGTATTGGATAATATGTCTCACTTAAAATGAATCTGAAAATGTTATGTTTTAATCTAAATAGCATTGGACAGAGTAAAGTCATATGTCATGATTGGTTTAAATCCAGAAAACATAAAGGTAATTGGTATTTTGTAAATCCCAATCTTGTATAGATTACACTATATGCCTCTTATAATCTGCTATGAAGTTCTAGTGCTTTTAAAGGGAGAATTGTAACCATTCCTCCAGCCAGGATTGCTCTAGTTCCTTCAGACCCTGGGCCAGTAAAGAACATTTATTTTGTGTGTAGCTAACCACGTCATTGTCCATTGGAATGCATGCTGAGGATCACTGTCATGCTGGATTGTGCATGGTTTCCCAAGCTTGAGCTTTTTTGCACAGGGAATTGGGTATTTGGTATTTGGGTATTATGGTTCTCCCTTAACCAATGAATATAAGCATAAGCTTCACATTTTTTAGCCAAACAACACTGATAAGCATGTCGAAAAGATCAATTTACGTATGTTTGTATGTTTTGTCTTATTATAAGACATGGTTCCAGTTGTCCATCAGATGTAGTCATTCAGTCACAGCTAAATGCACTATTGGAGGCTTCTCTATATATCTGCACTTCCCAAAGCAAAAAGTAAAGATTTGTTTTCATTGAACTTTATTTAAAAGAGTACTTAGAGGTGTGAAAAAATGTGTTTGTGTTTCCAATTGTGTTTTCTGAAATTCAGTTAATTATTTCGGACAAATATTTAATTCTAACTTTGCTATGTGCAATGCTTTATTATGATTATAACATTTTTAGAATTTTTTAAAGAAGTTACATTATCCAGGCCATATCTCATTCTGTTATAAGAGGTTTTTGTATGATTACTGTAAATCTAGAGGACATTGTAAATATTACATACAAAAACCAAAAATCCACTAAAACAATTAGACTACAGTGTACTTCGGAATCATTGGCACACCTTGATAAATATGAAGAAAAAAAGTATAAAACAATGAGTTCATTAAGCACTGAAATATATTTCTAACATAAGTAATTATGCTGAATTAATGATTAAATGAAATCAACCAAGACAAAAACTATTATAAATTATTTTCTCCAAAATAAAAGAAACATATTTTATTACAATTATTACTGTTTTTAGTACTTGGTGGACCCTCCCTTGGGAAGGATGATGGCAGTAAGTTTTTTTATATAATGCTTTATCCGATTGGTGAACACACTGTGAGGAATTCTAGACTATTCCTCCATGCCGAACCTTTCCAGGTGCTTGAGGTTTGTAGGTGTGCGCTTATAGACAGCCCTCTTCAGCTCAGACCACAGGTTTTCAATAGGGTGCAAGTCTGGCGACTGAGTTGGCAAAGCGTTGATTTTCTTTTCTGTCAACAATTTCTTTGTTGATTTTAAAGTATGTTTTGGATCATGGTCATGTTGAAAGATCCATCTTCGGCCAAGATGCAGCTAAGAGGCAATCAGGATTATGGCCAAAATATTCTGCTACTTTTGAGAATTCATGATGCCATCGATCTTAACAAGGGCCCCAGGACCACTGGCAGCAAAGCAGCCCCAGAGCATCAAAGATCCCCCACCAAATTTTAAAGTAGGTATGATGCTCATTTCAGTATATGCATCCCTCTTCTTACGCCAAACATGACTGTGGCCAAAAAGTTCAATTTTGATCTGACCACAGCATCCACTCCCAGTCGATATTGGTATTTTGAAGGGTTTACTTTTTTAAAATTATTTGCTTTTTGAAGATCAGCAATGGTTTGCCTAATTTCTGTTGTTAGTTTTTTCAGCTTCCCCATGCTTACAGATGTCAAAAGGTTTTCCTGTGTGCGTTTCGTCATTTTTATACCCTAGGGAAACAGGAAGTAACTAAGCTACACACATTAGTTCCTTAAGACAAAATTGAACTCATACAAGTATTAATGTATTATTTTTTTCAAATGTGTTTGATTGTATTTGAAGGGTTCCAATAATTTTGGCACCTGTGTTTTTCAGATAAAACAGCATTGCTTGTTTGCAATTGAACCTTAAAATGAGAAAATGTTTTAGAAAAAGAGGACAAGTATTCCCCTAACATGAGCATTAAATATCATTATGTGGTTTATTTTATTAATACTTTTTTCTTCATATTTATCAAAGGGTGCCAATAATTTCGGAGTCTGCTGCATATGTACATTCCTGTACTGACAGTCCTTATTGATCTTCAGCCCAACTCCATTCAGTACCATTTGCTTTGTACTGTCCCTCAGTGAAAAGAATTACTTTCATCAAAATTTTGGAAGTGAAAGTATCGGTTTTATAAAATCCAACATCGTTTGTATAATTTCTTGTCAGTGAGCTATCCTAAATGGTCTATATAACAATGCTTGTGATTTTGTGTTTCTGTCCATAAATTCTTTGTACAAGTGGTGTAACTCTTCACTGCAGGAGTGCTCCACTATGGTGAAGACGATAGCAAATAGTGAAGTATGATGCTGGGTATTCATATTTTTCTGTAAAACAAAGGTTTCCAAGAGATATAATGACTGTAAATCCTTCATGTGATCCTGCTGCCCAGTGAAAATCCAATGTAAGTAGCGTAACGTGTTGCCTGTTTTACTTGGGTACACTCAAGGAAATTAAAAAAAATGTCTTATGTGTGATGTTTGAAAAACGAATTCTTCAACTTCTGCAGTACTCTCAGAAAGGTGGCTTTTGAATTATGTGTATCTTTTTCAGCACAACATTCATCAGTAAATTGCCATAGTAGCAATAGCAGTTAGCTCATCTGCCTGGCAGATCTACTGTATCTCTCCTGTGTCTGCATGCTCTATTCCCCCCTTCACCCAGTCCACACACATGCTGTTCAGATTCACTGGTGTCCCTGAATTGGACAATCCATCCCCAAGTGTATGCCCTGTGATGGGCTGGTGTCCCATCCAAGGTGTAGTCCTGCATTGTGTGATTCGGCCTGCCAGGTTAGGCTCTGGTTCACCATGACCTTCTTAAGGATAAAGCCGGTATTTTAGATGGCTGGATTGGCTTTAAAAAATGTGGAATATGTTTGAATTACTTACTGTATATCAGAGGGAAGAGCAGGCTATGAAATCATTGCCAAAGTCATTGCAGACCCCTGATCTTATCCCCACTGAAACCTTATTGGTAGATCCTAATGAGTGAGTGATGCAAAACGTTCAGTGTTGGCACAAATCTACACTGTATTTGATATTTTGATATTGGATCATTTGCACACGCCAGACAAAAAGCTGTGTGGTAGAATGTGCTGCTAGAGTCATGCTTTAGTCTCCAAAGAGTTTCCTGTTTCAAGCAATGCAATATATTGATTCATTACCTTGGTTGTTTTTATTTTTCTGAGTGGCCCCATACTTATTATTGTCAGAGTAGGTTTGTAGAACGTGTTGAACCATTAAGTATATTTAACATTTTCTTCCACTGACTGTTCAGCTGTAGCCATAGATTATTTCTTAGTGTCACCACTTGGAATATTGTTAACCTGTGATTAGTGCTGTGGACCCATGCTTGCAGTATAACCATGTTTTTTAAAATTCTTTTATCTTAACCAATTTAGTGAATTGAGAACAAATTCACTTTTCCAATTGTAACCTTCCTGGTGAGGAGGTAATTGTTTCACCTGGGATTTGAACCTATGACCTCTGCATTCCAGAGCCCTAACAGTACTCCATGCTGTCGCCTAACTACAACCAGATAGAAGCCAAACAAATTAAAGACTGATGGCAGAAACTGATATGTTATATGTAATTGAAAATCTGTCTCCAGGGGACTTTAAATTTAAATTGTGGGGATGTTTTTTAATTTTGTGGGAAGGATTCAAAATGTGATCTTATTGTTAGGTTTGTCATTTATGTACAGAATGTCAAATTCATATAAATAGCTTTTATGACCAGTGTGCAGTATGGATACTTATTAGCTGATCTCTTCATCTTCCCCGTGATCCTGGTTTTATGCACAGAAAATTCATTTGTCCGAGAAGCACAGTCCTCATTTTTTTAAATACTCTCTCTAGTGATGTACTGTACAGTATACAGTATGAGGCTAATGTACTGTACATATATTGTCACGAATGTTGAGTTGTCATTCCATCATTAGCACTTTAAATACTTTGCAAAAACCTTGTGGATATAGGTTAGAATAAAAAACGATTAATTTTTATTAAACAGAATTTTGCTGTTGGAAGTAAGATAAACGTGCCCGAGGATGTCTTTATTCGGCACGCGAATGGGTAAAAAAAGGGCAAGCACACAGTTATCCCATTTTTGAGGATGAAGTGGTGAGAAAAAACCCTATACTTATTTCGTTTTATCTTGTATATTATATATTTAACCGAAATTCTAGTGGTGCAATAACAAAATATACAATCAGCCTGCCGTCCCGCACTTAAGATTTTTTTCTACCGGGGAAACGGCTAAGTTTCATTTTTAACTGCAATGAACAGTGTTGGAGAAGCGAAACCGAAAGACGAACATCTGTTTACTCAGTAGCTTGGGTACCTCAACTGTAATCTGTCAATACTGTATTCAGACACAGAGTTGACCGAGAGACGTTACTCATTACAAAACAAACACTGTACAGTAAGTTAGGATTAGATTTGAAATTGTATTTTTTAACGTGAATTTTTATTTTCGACATGACGATGAGCGAGCTAATCGAACTGAGGATGTATATCATTTGATATGCGAGTTACTCGAAATACAGTAAGTATTGTTTTGTTCTCATCTTTTTGTCACTTGACGTCCTGAAGCCTATGTCTGGACAATATTCTTTTTAACAGATTGGGGCATTTAGTATACAGAAGTCACAACTATAGTATTCTTAAAAATGACAATGAGCAATGCAGAACTATACTGTATGTACTTTTTTTTTCTTTGGGGGCTGAGTAAGGACATCACTGCGCTCAGTGTAAACTACTACTTATTATGTTTATTGGGCCATTTAATAATACCTTTGTAATATTTTTTAAATTAATGCAACAGAGTATTTTGTTTGATTCTAGTGCAACCGTCCTACAACTTATAAAGTAGTTTCTCTGGCCTTTGATAGTCTGTTTTCCTCGTGATATTGGTTTAACATGGTGACGTGATTAACCCCTGTGAATTTTAGTATTGCTCAAAGTCTTGCATGTACAATCCAATTGGAAATAATGACATTTTAGAACTAATAAAACAATTATTGTATTATTATAAATTAATATTAACCCATAATTGTTTTCAATAATTTACTGTAAGATCATTTAACAACAACAGGATTTTTGGCTTTTATATCTTGATTTCAAAATCTTGATGGAATGCTCTGCATTTCTGTCTTTTCTGGGACAGGAAAATTTGTGTACAGTACAACAATTTAAACTAAACTAAACTTTAAACCGCATATACAGTACATGGGAAAATTACAAACTGTAGAAATATAACCTTTTGATTCCAGTTTTCACTAGGATAGGCTGAAGTTCACATTGAACACTATAAGGTATTTGAAAGGGAGTTATTTTATTGTTACAATTATGTGGGAACAGTCAAATTAAATCCAAGGATTGAATGCTTTGTGAGAAGTTGGATTATTTGGTGAGAAGAGTTTGTTTTAACCTGATTGGTTAACGGGTAGCCTCCTGGCCATAGGGATGAGGAGACTTGAACCCCATTCAGATTGAGTGAACCAAGGGGTACAGTAGCTTTAACACGGAGATGAGGCAGAGGAGGCATGCTAGAGAGGATTTATGGAGCTAGTTTGGTGGTGATGGTGATCAGCTGCTGCTGTGCGAGATTGACATGTCATTATTATCCCTCCCAAACTTCAGTTAATAATTTCCAGTTTGAAAAATATATAGTCTCTGGCACAGTTCTGGTGAAAGAGTAACAGATCAGAGTCTTGGATAAGACAAATATTTATTAACAATAAAATACCATGACTAAACAACACAAAATGTTCCACAACATACACCAGTTACCCTCTCAACACAAGAGGGTACAAGATTATATATACTATATATTTCAGAGGCCTATGTTTTACTGACCCACAAACCTGAATGCTATCCCAGAAACCTGAAACAATATGTCATGACTAAACAGTCATTACATAGAAACAGAAATACACCCTGCATCATAAAAGTATATGACTTCGAACTAAAAGTCTTTTCTTGCAACATGGATGCTCAAAATTAAAAAAAAATATGTCACCAGCTAGTAGAACATTTTTCATAATTTCTTCAACCAGGACAGCAGGATCTCAAGAGCAAGGTTCAGATTACCTACAGTAGCCTGAATCTGGTCTCCAAGACCGATCGGAACAAGGTCCTCTTGCATGACAGGGTTTGAAAAAGAGGAGGGTGATTGGAGTTCCTTCTGTCTGTGTCCCTCTTTTTTCTCTCTGTCTTCCTTATTTATACTGCTGTCTGTAGCTGTTGAATGTTTACAGTATATTTTATTATTGTTAACCAGAATAATACACCAGAAAACCCATATTAATCATCTGTGATTACCTGCCTTTAAGATCACCTGCAGCTAGGCAAACATTACAAATAATCCTTATTATTTCTGTGTTATGAGTGAGGCTTTGGACAGTGCAATAAGATGTGAACTGCAAAAGTTCCTGGATTGTAACATTTTATTATGTGGTTGGAGAAATAAAACCTGAATTTCTGTGATTATCTCATCAAGCTGGTAACAATAGGTGCATTCAATCCTAGTCCACAGTGGACGCAAGTCTACAAGACTCTTTTAGTACCAAGAGATTAAGATCAGCAAATTTGTTCTCGCCAGTGATGTATGTGTGACTGACAGCCATTGTGTTAACTGTAATGTCCACTTCATGTTCACTGGAATAAACTTAATTGTTTCCTTTCCATGGGTAAATTCTAATACTACTTTTACACAGGGTGTACAAATGTACACATGGTCAAAAGTCCTCCTTCAATAACTCAAAAATATAATGAACTCAAGTTTTGTAGTACCTTTGCAGACCTTATTAATCTGCTGTCCTGCCCTGTAGTGTATCAGTCTCTCTGTTGTTTGGTTTATAGGCTTTCAAACTATATGTACAAATTCAGAGCAGGCAAGCTTTGTTTTGTTTTTATTTTCATTATGAAAACTAGTGGTGTGATCATGCCAGTGCACTAACTATAAATAATTAAGAACAGATTGGTAATGGGACTGGTTATATCTGGTTTTATCACAGGTATTGATAGTGACTGCACCTTTCAGCAGAATTTTTCATCTTTCTCAAACCGCCAATATTGGTCATCAGGAGTCACCTCTTGCACCCCCAATTAACACCCCCCTTAGGTCACCCTAATGTTTGAATGTATCGAATGAATGTATTAAAGTACTATTATTTGTTTTCATTTATCAGACTTTTCTTCAAGATTGGATCAAACATGCTTGGCCGCTGCTTTACCAGAAGTTATTCCTTTCAAGATTCAATGTCCAGTACCAGGCTACCAGGTGTGTTAGCCGAGGAATCAACATTGAATTGATTAAAAATACCAGCTGGTGACAAATTAGCGTGTGGATAGCTGGGGTTACTTGAGGATTGGAGATGAAAGTAACCCGATGACTTTGAGGACTGTGTATTTTATATTTTATACAATATAAAATGAATACTCACTAGGTTATTCTGATGTTCGCAGGGCTTATGGGCCTTTTAAACTACAGACTGTCTTGTTGCGTGAATTCTGTACTCCAGTCATTCTTTGCAACAGAGGAATTCACTGAAAAACTGGATAGGTAAGCTTGGGTTTCTTGAATTTGTTTACAGCTACTGTAGATTTAGTATTATGTTCTTAATGCATTTTATTCCCCCTGTTTATAGTGAAATCTATTCTGCATATATTGTTTATTATTTGAAAGAAACCATTAATATACACTCAACTCTTAACAACCTAAATCATCTCCCTATTGTATCTAAATGGAATCAATTTATTTTAACAGCTTTTCCAAGCTCTTCAGGTGCCGATGCTTTAAGAGACCTAGAAAACCCACAGTCACATACGCCCTCCAAGATAAGGATTTGACACCCCTGTCCTGGATTACTGTAAAGCCTAAACCAAAATTCTTTGTTTTTAATCATGCTTTTTTTTATAACTGGTTATAAAAACCAGTTATAAATGGTTTTTTATAAATGGTTACTGGCCATGGTTACATGTGCCATGAAAATGTGCTTTTTGTGTGGCAGGTGCTTTGGGATGCCTTGTCATATAGAGGAAGAATTTTACTGTATAGTTCACTGAGCTCAGAAAGGGCAGCTGAGCGTTCTTGTTTTTCAGATGGAATGGACCAAGCACAGCAGCAGAAGAGAAGTGCAATACACCCCTTCAACTTCAGCGTGTTCTCAGAGTCATGCAGAAAGATAGGTCACAGACTCAGGCGCACAGAGATTTTCTGTACTGCCTGCACCTGAATCACATCCGATGTACTAAACCAGTCTTTTACTTACCTTATTGTCTTTAAAAAGTATATCTGTTAACCATTAAACAGAATATAATAGTATACAGTGAAAAGAAATCCTTGTTTTTTTATCCAGGTCAGTTCCAGTACAGTAGTTTTATAAGTAGTTTACCTTGGCCTGAACATAAATTTATCAATGAAATAATTCATTAATAATAACAAATTACACCATCAAAAGTCACTTAAATGTCCATAGTATGACTATAAATCATTCAGCAATGCATTAAAGAAAATTTTGAATTTTGTCTTTCAAGCATTCCTTTCCTCACAGTGCTTTTAATTTAAAACAGCCTAATCTTGAGAATTCATCAGGCCTTGTGCATCAATTTAAAGAAAAAAACTTTAGAGGTAAACAGAAAACAGTTAATATTTGGATTATATACTGATGGAAAAAAGAAATGCAACATTTTCTGGAATGAGAATACTATAGTTATAGCTTATGTACTTTCACAAAAAGTTGTCAATTTGTTTTAAGCCCTCTGATCAACAATACAACTTGTGCAGTGAGACATTGCAACTTGCCAATCACATAACAGCTCGTTAGGTGCACTTTTACCCAACGAGGTCCAGGTTGAACAATGCCTGATCAGATCACCTTTAAAAAGGCCTTATTTCAAAGTTAAGGTCACTGCAAGAAAAAGGCCACACAAAAGGCATTCCATAATGCCTCGTATGTCACCAGAAGCGAGGGAGAGGGCCATTGGCATGCTGCAAGCAGGCATGTCATGTGCCAGCGTTGCCAGACACTATGTAATAAGCTGCTCCATTGTGGCCCGACTGCAGAGAAGGTTTCAGCAGACCGGCAGAACAGATGACCTTCCAAGATCTGGTTGCACTTGAGTGACCACACCAGAGCAGGACCGACACATCAGACTGGTCCATCTGAGAGATCGTTTCAGATCGGCCACCCGTACTGCTGCTAAAATTGCTGGCAGACACAATGCCCGCATCAGTGACAAGACAGTGAGGTTCCATGCTGTTGGCCTTAGAGCAGGGTGACCTGTCAGAGGCCCTCTGCTTACACCTCCTAGACATCACACATGACTGGCTTGGGCCAGACAGAGGCTGCAATGGACTCATTAGCAGGTCATCTTCACAGATGAGTCACTCTTTAGCCTGTTCTTCGCAGACGGGAGGGCCAAAGTGTGGAGGAGGAGGTGTTGCATTTCTTTTTTCCATTAGTATATATTATTCATAGTCACACTCCACTGCACTTATGTAACCCAGGAATATCAAATTGTGGGTTAACATTAAGTGAAAAGACAAGGAACATTAACTAACTCTTTGAAAAATTCCTCATTGCTATGAACATTAAACGGACTTCTCTTACTGTCATTTTTGCATTAGCTCACTGATAAACATGACATTTGTTTTCTAGTCTATGTGCAGCACGATGCTGATGAAGTATTTCTTTTAATCTTGAATCTCATCCAACAGCAGATGAGTGACACAAATCTGGTGAGTGATCATTAAATAGTTCCAGTATAATGTCTAGACATTAGAACTGGAATCCTTCATTCCTATCAGATGTTGGATGTCTTATGAAGGTGGTTTAGATATATACAGTACATACACTTTTGTATCCATAAATACTGTTTCAATATAGGAATGCATTGTATTATTACCATAATGGCAAGATATATACCTCTATTTCAGTCATACTCAGGAAGGGAGTGTCACAATTCAGATTATGTATAATAATGTAAGTGGCAGATCAGTAGGTGGCACTTTTCCCTCTGAATAAGAAATTTAAAACCAAAACACCAGGATGGTGACCAGGGACACGGTCCTGCAGATGTCTTAGTCTTGATAATTATAAATCCTATGGAACAGTTCGGAAGGGCAGAAGTGTTAACGCTACATTTCTGGAAAAATTTGACTCTGGGCTTGTACAATACAGCACTTCTGAAATTTCCTAGTATTCAGTTAGACACAGCTGATCCGCTGTGTCATGGGTTGGCTGGTACATAATTGCCAAAGATTACTGAGGTTCTTCAATTGGGTTTGTTCCTATATCGTATATAAAGATTATTTTTCAATTGTGGCAGTGATATGATCAGAACTGTCATCGAAGTGCACATTCTCCTGTCATGCTCCTGTCATTCTCCACATGCCATAACACATAACACATACTTTAGTGTTACCATACAGTGATGTCACTAGTAAAACAGCTGTAGCCATGTGGAAAATAGAACATAAGCTGACAGTTCAATATCTACAAATTTACTGGCACAAATCCGGAGTACCTGAATTCAGGTGTAAAACAGAACTGAAACAGATTATTTGAAACTGTGTGAAAAAAAGTGGAGAGCTTGACAATGCAAACTTCTGTTGTAAGAGTCTGGAAATATGACATACATTCAAAATGGTAGGTAAACAAAGGTGAAAAGTAGTTAGATATAGTAATTTTTAAATAAAAAAAACAAGACCAAATTAGTTTCTGTTGAATTTTGAACTTTGTATTTGTTTTATCTTGTGCCTCTTTTTTGCTAAAGGCACAAGAGATCAGAGACCTGTACAAGACTGAAGTAAGACAGCACCTGAAGTGTCTGAGCTGCAATTCCATGCATGACGTACCCAATAACAGCTATTTTGTCAGCTTCCCGCTATCAGTTTATGAAAACTGTCAGATGGTGGTAAGGTTCCTAGAGAAGATATTATTGGTGACCTTAAAGTGTTGCAACTGGCAGCTGTTGCTTTGTTCATCAGTAAAGTTAAGAATTCTGTTAAAATTGTCCCAGTGACAATTTGAGTTAAAGATAAGTGTTTGTAGATGTATTGTTCACCCTCTGCGTTCAAGCACACATACAGTAGCTACTGCCTATCCATGAAACAGACACTTTCTGGCTTTTCCTACACTAATAAAACACAGAAACATACTGAGGATTCATTATGGATTTGTACAGTATGTGACAATTTGTCAGTGGAAACTTTTTAGGCCATCACTTTTTACTAAGTGAATTCAAGGATTGTTTGACTCTAGAAGCAAAAATAATTTGATGCAACTTACTATATAGTAAAGAGAAATAAGACATTTTGAAATCAGGTAGATTTACAGCACCCTATGTGTACAATGAATAACCCATACTGGGCAGCAGCAGTATGGGGCGGTGTTGGAGGCGGAGGATCATGTTTCCATGACAATGGCAACAACACTAGCACTATCTGTGCAAAAGAAAGGCTTGGCAATGTATTTCCATATCTTGCCAAGAAAAAGCTATGGATAACGACGGGGGAACTATCCATAGGGTTGCCATGTGTTGACACCGACTCGATGGCACTCATTCCATCCCATGTGTACAGTAAAATAATTTCTGTATAGATACAATATTGTTGAAAGTTTTGTGATAGTAGCCATTGTATTCTAATTGGATTGTTGTCCTTCTGTTTCCAGGAAAACTGCTTCCAGTTCTTTTTTCGACCACAAAAGCTAACTGACAGAAACAAATGTTACTGTAACTACTGTGGAGAGAAAAAAACAACTGAACAGGCTAGTTCTTCCTCCTTGGTGACTGTACATTCATCCCGGACACAAGCATCTACTTATAAAAAAACATTTAGTAAAATAAACATTTAGTAGAAAGAATAGATGAGAAGTTCTGAGTTATGCTGAATTGCATGTTTGTTCTGTATTTTTTGATAATACTATAGACCAAATAGAAAGACATAGAAAAACCTGTGAGTCTAAGGCAAACAGCCTCCTGCACACTGTGATCTGGACTTGATTTCAGAGAAAAGACAAAGTTTTACTCTTGTGACCTTTGTCAGGTCAGGTTTGTAACTGTTTAGTAATCCTATCAGTATTTCAGACGCAGGCATACCTGCAGCACTCATCTCCATGCAACATCATATGATAATATAGAAACAAAAAAAATGGTTTCTTAATTTCAGTACATTCCTTATTGACATTGTACAGCCTGTAATGCGAGGGCAAGACAATTACAGTACATAGTAACACACAGGCTCCACTGTTTCCTTTCCTTTTCTCAGAGTGCAGGAAGCCAGCTGGACTAATATAATTGTTTGGACATTACCACATGTGTCTGTGTGTCAGCCTGATAGATGAATCTAGGGCGTGGTTCAGAAAGTAACTGGCTGTCCTATGTTTAGACAGGAAGAAAGTAAGAAGATGTTTTGACAAGACATTGCATTACTGTTTTTTAGGGTTAGAAGTAATGAGTAAGTTAAGTGATGTTTATACAAATTATTTCCGTTTGATATTGAGGGTAGTTTTTGAAAGAGCCACATATATTCAATACATAAGCCTCTGTGCAAGAGTCGTAGACACAATCAAGATTTAATACTGTATATGTAGGTTATGAGAGTATCAACAATTTGCTCAAAGACTCTGCTAGTGGTTTTAGGTATTATAACAGCTGTAACTGTTATTAATTCTAAACAGCTTAGTGTGGATGAAAATAAGCTTGTCATTTAGCTTTAATCTTTAATTAACATTGATGTCTTAAGCTTTTGCAAAGTGGACTATATAAGTGGACAGACTCGTGTCTGATAAAAATGTCAAAAGAATCACTTTTTCTTAGCATCTCCTAGGACTTGATTAATCTAATCAATTGTCTTTGCATGTATGTGCAGGTATTTAAATTGACCTCCCTGCCAAAAGTCTTGGTCATTCACTTGAAAAGATTCCAATGTTCAGGGTCTACTCGAAAGCTTAACTGTAAAGTAAGCTTCCCTGAAATTCTGGATTTTCAGAAAATACTTCATGAGGACCAACATGAGCTAAACAAAGGTCAAATGGTAAGGTCTAATAAAGAACCTCATTAGGTAGTTGTTGGGCTTTTAAGTTTCATGTAAGTTAATGCAAAGTAATCAGTTGATAAAACGTTTTTCAGGTTAAAAACTGTTAAAAAAATGCATTTTCAGGTTAGACTTGCAGGGTCGATTTTAAAGCTTTAGCTCCAGTGCAGTTATTGTCTCCAGTATTGTGATCTTCAGTTGCGAAAGAAAAACAAGAGTATAGTGAAATGTAGGCACATGTAAAAAAGGATATTAAAAAAAGCATTAAAAATAACAAATTATAATGCTCATCACCTTTAAGTCTATAATTTTATTTCTGCTCGGTGCGTCAGTAAAGCAGTAAATGGCAATTCCGTCTGGTAGTTTAGAGTGCTATGAAAAAATATATACTCAGCATCAAAAAACCTTATCTATAATACATTTGCATTATCTTAAAAAACACAAACTTCATTTTGCAGAATATACCCTGAAATCTTATTAAACAGGTATGACAGAGGTAAATACATTATGGAGACCATCTTTTGTTGTTCAACAACAAAAGGGGTTGTTCACTGGAGTGTCTACTGTAAAGGTCACGGGCTGGAAGAAATATAAGCAGTAGATCTATGATACCCTAGGTTGCAGATGCTGTCTTGTGGGATTCTATACCATTCCTCTTATTCCTCTGAGCCTGGACAACGCAGGTCTCTGAAGGTAACATCAGACCCTACAATTAGAATTCTCTGCTGACTAGACACTCCTGCCTGGTCATACACAGCATTTGGTTGTACATAATAATTAGCACAAGGTTCTTCATACTGTATTTGTACCTAACCTGCTGAAGTCCATCAGAATGGTCTATACAAACTCACTCATCACTGCTGGTCAGTCCACCTAAGGTGTTACTCACACCACCTCATCCTGTCAATGGAGATAATCTAGCCACCTCTTCACAGCTGAACTGTTGTGACTTTGCATTTCTGATGCACTGGTAGTTGCACTAAAAAAACATTTATGAATTTAGATTATAATGATGTGTTGATCTTGGGAAAGTGCCATGACTTGTGGTCTCTGAGAGCATGTTATTCACTGTGTTTAGCTGTAACATCTTGTCAGGTTAAAAAAAGCTGGCTTATGAACCTCTCAGAACCCCCCAACCTCCAATGTACAAACAGCACTGAGGTGTTGCTCTCTTGAAAGCTGTAGCATACTGGCACCTTTCTAAAATCATATACATACAGTATATAATGATCGGTTTTTGTGATGCTCAGTATACATTTTCCGACTCCTTAACAAAAGATTTATAGTGGAAAAGATGCAAAAGAAAGAAAAAGTTTGTTATGCAAAGCATTAAATTACTCTGTTTTATTAACGTGTGCTTGTTTTCCACAGTATATATATGAACTGTTTGCTGTCATAGTGCACTCAGGAACAGCTATGTTTGGGCATTACACAGCCTACATTAAATCACCAGGGGAACAAACCTGGTACCATGCTGATGACAGCTCCATTTCCACAGTAAGTCTCCAATCTTTCCAATGATTTACAGTAGATATACGTCTATTGTTCATTTTCAGTTTTCAAACCAGCCTGCATTAGAAGTAAACCAGGACTGTCTTGTATTATCTTTAAGAAAGCTACTGTATTTGCAGATCACTGTTCATCTTTAACTAAAGCTTGGTCAAACTGACAAGCCCATGTAGAGAGACTGACCACTCTAGCTAACTCTAGGTTAGTAAGATAAATGTGACCAAGAGGAAGATGTTTGACAAAGGGAGCTGTTCATGTATTTCAAACTGACTAGATAGATAGATACTTTATTGATCCCTTGAGGGAAATTGCAGTGCAACAGCAGCTTAACACACACAACACAGACTATGTAGAACTAGTGCCATAGGACACACTCCTTGGAAATTTGGTAGAGTAGTATGATATAGAATTTGCATATTTCCTAAATATTTTTGGAAACTGTAAATGCCACAGAGAAATAAGTTGCTTCAGAAAATGTAATACTGAATTCCAGAAATGGTTCCCTTGTAGCCTAACAATACTTAGGGGAAGTCCCAGGGAAAAAACATTCCATCACCACAATGCAATTCTGCAATTTCCCTCACGGGATCAATAAAGTATCTATCTATCAAGCAATAATCTGTGTAGCAGATGCAGAGATGGAGAAATAGTGGATAATAACTAAGAACTAAGAAATGGTGGATAATGCAGGGTATGTTATCCTGAGTAATTGCCACAATATGTGGGGTATATATCCATCCATCCATCTTTTAACCACTTGCAGTACAGGGACTTGAGGGAGCTGGGCCTATCCCAGCAAGCTGTGAGGTGCATATTATAGCAATATCGTGTGGTAATACACACCACAAACTTAGAGTGTGCTGTTGATAATATATGAAGTTTTACAGATAGAAAAGACAAAACACCTGGTGAGATTAATTAATTAAAGACATAACATCCTTGCACTGTCAGAAAGCCAGTGAAAACTGGTGAAGGCTAGGACAAATCAGAGCCTAACTCTGGTGCACAGGTGCAGAAGGCAGAGCTGCTCTCTCCCTGACTGGGAAACCAGCCCATGGAAACCAAACTCTGATTTTGGGAGGTCTGGTGGAAACCAGGGCAACCAGAGAAAACACGGAGAGAGCATACAAGCTCCACACTGTTCGAGACTGGGCTCTGGGAGACCACAGACCCCTAGGCTACTGTAAGGTTCTTATGACATAACATTCCTCCCCCAAAATATTGTAAGCTGATGTTCTGCTTAAATATACTGTATTTCATGGATCAGAATTTTGAAATCTATTTTATTTTAAGACATATTTTTCTGGAATTCTCATTATTTATTAACACAGGAGGTTCATTAATAGCTTCTGGTAAATAAATCCCTGCTGTGAGAGCTTACCTGTATATACTCTGTCTTTGAAATAACAATAGTTTCTTCTTTCAGGCTTCCTGGGCAGATGTAAAAAGTACATACGGGAGCTCAAGTGGGTAAGCTCAGTTTTAAACCTGTTGAAATCTGGACCGTTGTGTATAGTACTTTTAAAAAGGTTCTATAATGCAAAAGGGTAGAGAAGGCAAGAGGACAAAATTAAAACTTTAAAACTTTGATTCTTCTTTTGCAAATTTAATACCTGTCACTTGGTGGCAGCAGACCAGAGGCTTCATAAACCTGCTCAGTGATAATTTACTCAATAATTTAGTTTTGGATTTTGTTGTTGGTAAGTGGGTTGAAATTTTAGAAATTGGACCTTAGCATTTTAAAAGGTTCCAGACTAATTAAAAAAATATGGCACAGGGAGCTGTGCTAACTAGAACAATACTAGGGGTTGTTTCTAATTTAAAAAATAACTTTATTTAGTTTCATTTTATTTACTCTATAACTGATTATGGATTTTGACATTTACACTTTCTTTTAGGAAACTGGGAATTTTTCAATTTTGGTCTAGAACAGTGGTTTTGAAGATTGCTTGGTTTGTGTGCCAATCTCTGTTTTTTATGTGCTATAGGAGTAGATCTGCCTACATGCTGTTGTATCGGAAAATTGAGGAGGAGACCTCTATGAGTTCTCAGTCAACTCATGGTTCTGAACTGATGGAAACCGAGTCCAAATGACTGTTCGCTGGAGAAGTTTATTGCCAAGTTAATTCATGTTGCAATATTTTAGATTTTGATTTTTTTAACCAATTTTTACCAGAAACATTAGTAAACTCTAGATTTCTACACCAGTATGTGGCTCAAACACAGAATTGCTGTTATATTTTTAAAGAATCGCCTTGACCATTTTTATTATGATTATGGAATTGTGTTTTGGATAATTGTTTTGCAATTGTTAAACATATTCTGTACAATACATACTATACTTATGTGATGAATTTATAAGGTTAAGGAAATTAAGTACACTAATGGTAACTGTATTTTTGGGAACTGTTTTTAAAATTTTCTTATGGAGTATTTTATATTGGAAACAATTATCTAGTTCTTAATCCCAATTTCATAATTAGAAAAAAGAATTATCTTATAATTGTAATTTTATTTTAGAATATGTATGCTTAATTCTCTGTACTATGCTATATACACTTTTTATTTACCTGATGCTGTACTGATTTTAAATCCTAAGCCAAACTAATAATTATCCAGTCAAACAGAAATTTCTTTTTTAATGAGATGCAGTAAAAATATTTTCACAAGATGTTAACCTAACATTTAAAAACTTTATACAAACACATATCTCCACTGAAGTTAAATGATTAGCTGAAAGAAAATAATCATTAAAACAAATAGCATAATAAGCATTTAAAAAAAATAAGCAATATGCTGTAAAGCTACTATTTGGCCTCCAAATTTTGTGTGAAAAAAACAGTTTCTTTTTTAGGCAGTTTAAATAGTTGTAGCGGCAAGGCTTATTAATAAGGCAGAATTAAGTGTTTCTGAGCTTTCCCAAATGAGGCCCCATTTCTCTGTTCATCTCTGTGGTGCAGCCACAGAGAAACTATTCATGCAGGCTGATTTAAGGTTCCTTTGATAAGGACAGCTCCCAAAGGGGGATGCACTTACCTAAGTCTGGCTATCATGATCAATGGTCATCCATTGGCGCCTATCTGTCTAGGGAGTGCCAGATGGAGCTGAAGTTCCTCCAGGTAAAAACAGGCAACATAGAGAGCCTGGGAGATTCAGTAAGATTCAGGAGAATTCTGTGGACTTTTCTAAAGGGAATTCAAAGGAGAATTCCAGGGCAGGACGGCCCAGGAGCAGAAGGCTCCCAAGGGCAGGACATTCTCGCAGCGCGCCTCCTGACC